CCTCCTCCTCCTCCTCCTCCTCCTCTTCTTTCTTCTTCCTCTTCTTTTGTACCTGGAATTGGAATCAGGACCTTGCACTTGTCAATGAGCTGTGCCAATGAGCTTTATCCCTGGCCCTCTTTTTTCTACTTCCAATTTCCAGCCCAGCCAGTCTTTGGTGCTTTCCCCAGCAGGAAGAGTGTGTAACTGCAGTAGTATGAAACAAGACACCAAACTGGCCTACTCATGATGGGTTTCAGGTGGTCCGGGAAGGGAACTAGAGAGAAAAGTTTATGCAGAGGGATGGTTCCACCAGATGAAGACCTTCAGATAATCCTGATGGCTATCTTGTAGGCATAAGCTTTTAACTACAGTACCAAAATGAAAGCAGTCTTCAGGAGAGTTAGACTAGCCCAGCAGGTTAAGGTAGAGGAGATACTAGGAAGAGGAAGAGCATATCTGAGCTGACACAGTAGCCCAGGCTTATGCCACTAAATGACAGAACAAGGTGCTAAATGGGGTAGAATAATCATATATGGTCAAGATAAGTACAAAAACTTTGACATCTGATTGGAGGATCTCTTGAACTGGAGAAATTAGGGATAGCCCTAGTTTTACTCTGGAAAATTACTACTAAAATAAGGCAATTTTAGGAAAGGGGAAAAGCTATGGGGTGTTGTGAAGTGGGATGAGTAAAAGTTTCAGTTTTTGTCCAATATATAGAAACAGGAAGTGTTAAAATTGGCTGAGGTCTGGAAGCTAAAGTTCAGGGCTACAGATACAGAATTTGGAACCATCAGTTTGGTGTGAACTGAGATCATGAAGACAGATGCAGTTGCCAGGAATGAGGGATCAAAGAAAAGATCCCAAAGAATGAACTCTGTAAATAGCCATACTTGCGAGACCAAGGAGAGAAAGGGTGTCAGTCATCAAAATATGAGAATGGTGACAGCATCCAATCATGAGACCAGCCATGCTTTTCAAGAGGGTGTTGAAATTGTGGCACCCAGGCCACAATTCATTTAGGGTCAAGATGTTCCAAGTTCTTTAAAATACCTAAAGGTCTTTTAAAAAGCATTGAATTCAAGGCACAGTAACTAAGAACAAAGCCAGTGGATTTGACAATCATCACACAGCTGACTCAGAAGGGAAGAGGGAGCGAGTCCTGACTCCAAAGAAAGCAGTTACTGTGGAATGAGGGGACAGAGTCCCAGAGACATCCAGCAGGTTCGCCTCCTTGGAAGAAAAGCAGTAGGAAGATGAAGGTTGTGCCTTTGCTTCTTGCTTTTCTAGGAGAGGGGAAATCTGGGCATATCTGAAGGCAGAAGGAAGTGATGTTGCTAAACACTGGAAAAAAAAATCAAAGCAAGGAGGGGTAGGAGGGGATGGGGTTGGAGAGTTGAAGTGTATGACTGGCAGTCACCTGTGGTCACCTCTTTTGAAGGGGAGGCCAGAAGATGCTGAATGAAAGAAGCAGGGAGGAGGGGGTTCTGTGAACTCATCCAGGGGGCTTAGGGTTTAGAGAATACTGGAATGCCCTGGATTGTACACAAGAGAGGAATATGGGAATGCCTTGCTCCATAGTCAAAAATATTAAAAGAGTGGGCTGGGGAGATAGCTCAGTGGTCTAAGTGTCTGCCTGGCAAGTGCAAGGTCCCAGCTTTGATCCCCAGTACTGCATGCAGTACTGGCCCCAGAACCTGGAAAAACCAAGCTAGCCTTAAAATGGGGTGTGGCGGTGTATGCCTTTAATCCCAGCACTGGGGAGGCTGAGACAGGAGGATCACTACGAGTCCAAACTGTGTAGTAAGACCCTGTATCAACAACAACAACAACAACAACAACAACAACAACAACAACAACAACGAAGTATTAGATAAGGCTGTGATTTAACTGAATTCACAGATCTCATAGAAGACCCTTGAGTGTACATATACACAGCACCAGACACCTGACTTTGTGACTTCCTGTTGTTTCAGGTTCACTCTATACTGCTATTTTCTGGTTACACTAACTTAGAAGGGGCTCTATTTAGCAGAGTTTCATATTGTGTTTGCTCTCTTATTACAACCAGAAAATTCCCAGAATATGGGATCCAACTTTGAAACATAAATAGAAGCAGCAATGACTTTAAGGCCATCAGCAAAAATCTTTGAGGCTCCT